CTCCCTTCTAGGCTCTAGCACTGATGATGTTACCTAGTTTGGTAATAAATGCCTGCAAGAAAACCATCCAATTCAGAAAGCACCAAGGATCCCACAGGAAAAAAACAACGGTTGCCCATTTGATAAGAAATTATGGGAAATTCCCTTTTCATAGTTTTGATTGAAGGCTGCTTGAGCCATTCATTCTCTGGAGCAGTTCCCCCCTCCCAGCTTTTTTTTTTTAATCCCCACTATGCAGCCTTCTAGTCAAAAGAAAAGGAGAAAAAAAAAGTTACTTTTAACCAGATAAGCTATCAATGTTGGAAAACTAAAGGCGAAAGCTAGGATTACAGGAAGGAGAGGAGCCTGAGACATTTGTTTTTTAGCCAAGTTGATACCTGTGAAGGAAGTTTGTCGCAACACAGAGAAACTGGAAAATTTATCAAAGCTATTTATCTCACCGTTTTTGTTTTCAATTGGCAATTGAAAACAGCAGCTGCCAAAAAAGCCAACACAGTTCTAGGCTGCATAAACAGAGGGAGAGAATCAAGATCACGTGAAGTGTTGATGCTACTTTATAAGGCCTTGGGAAGGCCACACTTGGAATATTTGCATTCATTTTTGGTCACCACGATGTAGAAAAGATGTGGAAACTCTAGAAAGAGTGCAGAGAAGAGCAAAAAAGAGGATTAGGGGACTGGAGAATAAAAGAGATGAAGAACAGTTGCAGGAACCGGTATGTCTAATTTAATGAAAAGAAGGACTAGGGGAGACGTGATAGCAGTGTTCCAATATCTCAGGGGCTGCCCCAAAGAAGAGGGAGTCAAGCTATTCTCCAAGGCACCTGAGTGTAGAACAAGAAGCAATGGGTGGAAATTAATCAAGGAGAGAAGCAGCTTAGAACTGAGGAGGAATTTCCTGACAGAACAATTAATCAGTGGAACAGAAGTTGTGAATGCCCCAACACGAAGTTTTTAAGAACATGTTGGATAGCCATTTGTCTGAAGTGGTATAGGGTTTCTGCCTAGGCAGGGGGTTGGACTAGAAGACCTCCAAGGTCCCTTCCAACTCTGCTATTCTATATTCTAATTAAGATCCTCCTGGGTAACCACAGGGCAATGCAGGATCAGATAACCTTGGCAGACAACTGAACTGGACGAATCCTCTCTCGTTTCATTTGCTCCTAGTTGTTCAGAAATTGGAAGTATTGCACCATGACCGTCATAAAATATGAAACCAGTTCCCCCAAAGCATCTGAGGGAGGCAGGGGGGCGGTGCAAAGGTGTGAAATAATCTCTTTTTTTCCGTTGTAACTTTGAAGGGTCACTAAATGCACTGTTGCATGTGGAGGACTACCTGCATTATGAGGGCTGCCAATTTAAGACGGTTGTGTTTTTCTCACTTGGGTGTGTATCACCATTTTTAAAACCTGCCCTGCCAGCTGGAGGGAGTCTGGGGGTGTGTGCTTAGAATGGTGACAAAGCTTTAATAAGAGGCACCAATTTACCAGGTGTCGGATGAAACCTTCTGCCTCTTAATAAAAGGCCTTTTATCAATTGCTACCAGATCCCTGGGGGCGGGGGTTGGAGAGGGGGCAACACAGACTAGCCTGGTTCTCGACTTATGATGGCGACATCATGGCCACTTCTTCCGTCCCAGTTCTTACCATAGCAATGCTAAGTTTTTAACCTCTCAAAAATTAAACTCAAAAGCCACATTAAGCACTAGGGAAAGGTTAGGGTTAGGCTTAAAAATGCCAGAAATGGGACTGGGACAGTGTGCAGATAATGGGTTAAGGCCACACTTGTTTTTAAGTGTGATGTGAGGATTTGTAAACCACAAACGAAGGGAAGAAAAGGAGGAAGGAAGAAGCAAGGGAGAGAGGAAGAAAGGAAGGGAGGGAGGGAGGAAGGAGGGAAGGGAGAAAAGCAAGGAGGAGGGAAGGAAGGAGGAAGGAATAATGGAAGGAGAAAAGGAGGACGGAGGGAGGGATGGAGAAAGGGAAGGAGGGAGAAAAGGAGGAAGGGAGGGAGAAAAGGGACAAAGAAAGGGAGGGAGGCAGAAAAGGAGGAAGGAAGAAGTGAGGGGGAGAGGAAGAAAGGAAGGGAGGGTGGGAGGAAGGAGGGGAGAAAAGCAAGGAGGAGGGAAGGAAGTGAGGAAGGAGGAATGGAAAGAAGGGAAAGAGAAAAGGAGGAAGAAGGGAGGGAAGGAGAAAGGGAGGGAGGGAAGAAGGAAGGGAGAAAACCAAGGGGGGAAGGAATAATGGAAGGAAGGGAAGGAGAAAAGGAGGAGGGAGGAGGGAGAAAGAAAGGGAGGGAGGAAGGGAGGGAGAAAAGGAGGAAGGGAGAAAAGGAGGAATTAAGGGAGGGAGGGAGAAAAGGAAGGAAGAAAGGAAGAGAGGCAGAAAAGGAGGAAGGAAGAGAGGGAGAAAAGGGGGAAGGGAGGGAGGAAGGCATTTGTCTCTTCCCTCTCCTCAAATTCTTATAAGTTCTTTGATCTGAGGAAGGAGAATCCTGATTCAGAAGTTTCTTTCCAACAAAGTGAAGAAAGAAAGAAAGAAAGAAAGAAAGAAAGAAGGGAGGGAGGGAGAGAAAACCAGAAACCTTTGTGACGGTGCCAGATGGATTTCGACACAACGGCGGTTGTTTCCTTAATGTGACCTAACAACAACTTCGTGTTTTTATGTAACACGTTGAAGCTTTTTCGCCCAGCCGTGGTTGATACCAGTGACATCAGAACTTGTTCGAATCTGAAACTATCTAAATGAGTCTCAGTGGCGCAGTGGTTAGAGTGCAGTTCTAGAGGCTATTTCTGCTGCCCGCCGTCTGCCTGCAATTTGGCAGTTCAAATCTCACCAGGCTCAAGGATGACTCAGCCTTCCAGCCTTCTGAGGTCGGTAAAATGAGGATCTGGATTGTTGGGGAAAAGAGGCTGACTCTGTAAACCGCTTAGCGAGGGCTGTAAAAGCACTGTGAAGCAGTATATAAGTCCAAGT